CAGAGACCCCCGACCCCATCCTGCTACCCCGATACTGACCTCAGAGACCTCTGACCCCATCACGCACCCAGAGGGACCCCCCTCTCCCCGCTCCCCGTACCTGCGCCTCCCCCAGCCCCAGCTCGATGGCGTCCAGGCTCTTGCGCAGCAGCCCCGACTTCTCCTGCGCCGCGGGGAGCTGGGAGCCGTCCGGCAGCGCCACCCCGTCCAGCAGCGCGGCCAGCAGGGCGGCGTGCTCGCTGCGCAGCGTCTCCAGCCCCTGCATCACCGCCTTGGTGCTCAGCACGATCTCGTCCTGCGAGAGGCGCTCCAGAGGCTCGTCCCGGGGCAGCACCATGGCGGACATCCCTCACGACACAGGCCGCCGAGCCCTGGGGCAGAGGGGGCAGTACCGTCATCCAACACTGCAGCACTGCTGCACCATCATACAACACTGCTGCACTGTCATACAGCACTGCTGCACTTCTGCACTGCACCATCATACAACACTGCTGCACTCCAATGTCATACAGCACTGTTACACTGTAGCACTGCACTGTCATACAACACTGCTGCACTTCAGCGCTGCACCGTCATACAGCACTGCACTGTCATACAGCACTGCTACACTGCAGCACTGCAGGGTCATACAGCACTGCAGCACTGCACTGTGGGGACGCAAACCACAGTCTGTGTGGGTCCTAATGCCCTACTATAGTGACAGGGACACGATACTGTAAAACGGAGGTCCTGACTCTCTGCGGTCATTAAAAACCCCAGGGTCTTTCTCAAAAAGAGTAGGGGTGTTACCCCAGTGTCCTGGCCATATTCCCCCCTGGCCTTTACCCCTCATGGCCTCCTAATAACCCCCCTCTCTGAACTGGCTCCATCACACACTGGCAGCTGGGGTGTGGGGAGCGGACTGGAGCATCATCCAGGTGGGGGTACACACTGGTGGGGGTGGAGGGGATCCCCATAACCTGTACAGAGCTCTGAGTGGAGGGTCCAGGAAAGCGACCCCTGAACAACACTCATCTACACAAAGAGTGGCAGGGGTCTGGAGCCAGCCGCGCTGCCAAAACCAGCACAACGCCCCCCACCACCACCACCACCACCACCAAGAAGGGGACACGAGGTAGCGAGCGGACAGGCCCAAGCGGGGGGGCTCGTCTAACACTCCCAGCGACTTGCCAACGAGACGCACCTGCCGGGCCTGCCCCCCCCCGCCGCCGCCAGCACGCACACGCGGCGCCGGAGGTACCGCAATGCGCCAACCGGCGCGGGGGACAGCGCCGCGTCACGGGAGCGCCGGGCCGCCGCCGGACAGCCGGACAGCCGGGCAGCGGGACTTCATGAAACACACACAGCCGCGCGCATCCGTCACCGAGGGGTGCCCGACCCGCCGCCCTGCGTGCCCAAAACACGCCAGCACGTGCAGACGTGGATGGGCATGGTCCCAGCTGACTCGCGCCCCCCACCCCCCACCAGACCTCCGGAGCGCCGAGCCGAGCCGGGCCGGGCCGGACCGGGACCATTAACTCAACACAGGCTCGCTCTAATCCGCTCTTTAAGTCCCACTCGCGGATGTGCAAAGTAAAACAAACCAGAACCAGAACCCCTCACACTTCTCACAGCTCGCGATCCCACCGCCCCGGTACTGGCCCGGACAGAGGACACTGAGTGACGTGACGCGGGACACCGTCAGCACCAGAACCCGGGTCCAGCCGGGTCAGGCAGGCAGGTCGCAGCCTGGTCAGGGAATCGGGTCTGGAAACGGGTCACTAGAGCCGAACCCCCCCTCCCCAGTCCCGTGTCTGAATGAAGCGGTCGAGCGCGCTGAACCCGGGCCCTCGGCCCCTCGGGGGGGGGGACAGCCGTGGGGAGGGCGAGAGGAGGAGGAGGAGGAGGGGGTGCGGGGAGAGGAAGAGCGGCTCACGGGTCAATGACTCACCTGATTCTCGCCCCCTGAGGCGCCGGTGTCGTCCCGTCCCCTGAAGGCTCGGCTCGGCTCGGTTCAGCTCAGCTCAGCTCGCCGGCTCGGTCCCCCGACACCTGCCGCATCCGAGGGGCCCGGAAAGCGGGCTGGCGGTGCAGGTCCAGTCTCCGAGGTTCGGCCCCGCCGGTCCTGTCCGGGTCGGCTGTCCAAGCAGCGCCGCGCCCCCCCCTCCGTCCCGCACAGGCAAGCACGCGAGGAAGCCCCCCAGTCCGAGATATGCCCCCCGCGCCGGGTCTCTGCCCTGCGTGTCCGCACCTCTGCGCTCTCGCTCGTTCTACTGCCGCATCCGGCACGGCGGGCTCATTCCTAACGGGACGGATCCACGCAGCGTGGGGAGGAGGAGGAGGAGGAGGGAGAGGGGGGTCGGGAGAAAGGTTATCGGAGCCGTGTCCCCCCGCCACTCGTGTGCACGTCAGGGTCTTTTCTTGGGAAAAGAAAGACGCCCGTGTCCGTGTCCGTGTCCGTGCGTGGTCGCCGCTGTTGTTGTTGTTGTTCTTTTCACACGACCAAGCTGTCGCGAGGAACCGGCATCCCGACTGCTCCGCTGCGCGCGACTGGCTCGCTCTCCGCACTGACAGCCGCTCGCGAGCCGAAAATGGCTGTTGTGCCTATATTGGCTTCCCAGAAGCCCCGGCGCAGGCGCGCTGACGTCACCGCCCAAAACACTGCCGCCAGCCGGGGCCGCTCCCCTCTCTCTCTCCCACCTCCTTTCTCTCATTCCTCCTCCTCAATCCCCTCTCTCCCTCCTCCTCAATCCCCTCTCTCCCTCCTCCTCAATCCCCTCTCTCCCTCCTCCTCCTCCTCCTCTTCAATCCTCTCTCTCCATCCTCCTCCTCTTCAATCCTCCCTCTCCATCCTCCTCCTCCTCTATCCCAGCACCCCACGGGCACAAGGCAGGGCACACCCGGGTCACAGGACACACACACACCAGGCCCTGTGTCCCCACCAGCGTGTCTGTGGATGGACAAACCGCTGGAGAACATGCAGACTCCATACAGACGGCTGAACCCGGGGCCCCGGCGCGGTGTCAGGCCCGTGCTCTGACCCGGGACGCAGCTCCGCGTGAGCGTGCGTGCTGGGCGCTGGGCGGCGGGCTACACGTCCGCGTGCCGCGGTGTCCGTGACTCAGCGTCGTGACAAGAGACGGGTTAAAAATCCAACGTTTTGATTCTGATGATTTTTAATGACACACCGAATCGACAGCCCTGCGGCTCCGTCCCTCTGGCTCTCTGGCTCCAGCGGACAGGGGACGGAAAAGCTGGAAATGGAGAACACAGCACCCCCCCCCTCGCTTCTCTGGACCCCCCCGCAGGCAGGCGGCGCCGGTCGGAGCCGGACTGTCGCTGCTGACGGTCCAGCGGTCTCGAACCCCGGCCACGCTGCCCCGCGGTGCCAGATCGGCCCAGCCCCACAGGCGGCTGGCCACTGCTGCTGCTGCTGGTCAGCCTGAACCAGGCTGTGGCTTCCAGCGCCCCCTGCAGGGGGAGGGGAGGGTCCTGCACACCCAGCTCTTTTCTCTTTTCAACAGAAACCGGCATAGCGCCCCCCCAGTCCAACACACTGTTGTCCTCGGCCGTCTGGGGCGAGGGGAGGCACGCCCGCGCGGAGCAGCAGCTGCAGGGCTTGTTGCCAGGGCTGCACGGTGCGCAGCGGGTTTGAGAGACGCTGGGCCGTCTGGGGCGACGGCAGGCACGCCCGCGCGGAGCAGTGCTGCGCTCGATTAATCAGCCTGCCCAGCGGCACGCAGAGCGGCTGGCCGCCTGGAACTCCCGGCCCGGAGCTCACCGGAGCCGGAGCCGGAGCCGGAGCCTGCCCTGCCCCGGGGGGAACAAACACCGCAACTCGCAGTTCAAAACACAACCACAAAAGGCCCAAACGCACTGGTGCTCGTCCAGGGAGACGCCTGCGACGTCTTTAGAACAAAATCTACCACTGGGCACAGGCCGCTGGGAGAGGAGCGCAAATCACGACACCTGACTGTGGGGGGAAATCCCACTAAAACACCAATGGGAGACGCATGGGTGAGTCCGGAGCCCCGCTCGTCCCAGCCCCCCCTTCCTCTGCTCCAGGGACACCCCTCCGAGCCCCCCTCCGCTCCAGAACCGGGCTGGGCTCACTCGGGCCGGCTCTTTTCCCAGGGAGACGGGTTCCAACGGGGCAAACCCATCCAGCAGGAACGAGGACGAGTCTGGGACACGAGGTGGGGGGTTGGGATTGTGATCATATAATCTACTACTACTGACGCTACAGGACTTCTGTCCACACCCACACGGCCAGACCCACGTCCAAATAGGAGTTTTAATAGTAAAGTGCACATCTGGTATAAAAACAACAAGAGGCTGATGGCTGTGTTTTCTAGGAGCGCCCTAGAGGCATGAAGGCAGTGAGGCCACACTCTCCCCCCACCACCAGAAATAAAAGAATGGAACAGTCCATTTCCCCTTCAGCACGGATGGGAAGGTCTAGTCCATCTCGCTCTGATGGGGGGGGGGGGGGTTTAAGACCGGAGTTCCTTTCCTTTGGGCGAACTGAACTGGACTCGCTCCTGGCTCGCCCCGACTCCCCCACACCCCCCTACCGGAGTCCAGTCCTGCGAGGAGAGGAGCCGAGCGGGGGATCCCGGGAAACAGGGGGGCCCCAGGCTGGAGTCAGCAAGGTTCGGTGTGGGCCCCCAGGACAGAAACTGCGCCCCGTCGCACGGCACGCCTCTCGCACCTGGGCAAGGCCCAGAGTGGTCCCCTACTGTGCCCAAGGGGCTTGCGGGCATCTCTGGGGGCTCCCCCTGCTGCCCGGCTCTTAACAAGCTCTGTCTTCGCCTCATGGGCAGAACTGGACCCATAGAACAGGTGCTGCTGCTTTTAACGAGACCACCAGCCACACTGACCCCTCCTGGCCCAGGAGTGGACACCCCCGCTGCAGACACACTGACCCCTCCTGGCCCAGGACTGGACACCCCCGCTGCAGACACACTGACCCCTCCAGGACCAGGACCGGACACCCCCGCTGCAGACAGCACCCCTTCCAGGACTAGTACTGGTCACCCCTGGATTAAAGAGCAATTCCCTGCCTCTGGAATCCCCCATCTTCCCAAAAGCCATTCCGATCTCCTCCAGCGCCAGGAATGACCAATCACCCATCTTGTACGGACACAATCGCTCTGTCAGGAAGAGGACATGGCCTGGTTTTTATACGCTTAATGCTCTAATGAAAACACACCACAAGGAAACTGGTGCATAACATGACACACATAAAAGCACATCTGCCCAAAGTTACTTCTGTACAGGACATGGTCAGCAAGCGTCCATTTTTGTGCGTGTGTGTGTACTCCATCTGTAACCCCATCCCTCCTCTGTACACTCTTCCAGCACCTCCCTGCGTTGCCCTGGAGACAGGCGTGAGCGAACAGCGACGTCATCGATCCAATCCACATGTGCTCCACAGCCGTTGCCATAGCGAAAGAAGAACGAAAATCCGAGCAGAAGTCTACGAAGGACGCGATTGGAGGAGAAGCCCACGCCCCCCGGCTCTGATTGGCTAGGGAGGGTTCCAGGAGCTCTGAGTGGCAGAGGGCCTGTTCCGGGAGCTGGCCAATGGCTGCGCAGGAGGGGTGGGCTTGGGGGGGGGCGGGTCCTAGGACGCTGGCTTGCTGTAGCTGAAGAGTCCGACTGGGAAATACTTGACGTGGGTGGGCCACTGGGCCGCCAGCTGGAAAAACTTGACGTCGTTCCACTCCACCCCGTCGATGGACACTGCAGAGAGAGCACAGCAGGGACGGCCGGTCAGCCACTGGCGGGTTTAGACACCTGCCTCCAGGAGCCTGCTGGACCACAGGGACTCGAGCAGCCCTCTGTGGGAGCGCGGGTGAACCGCGCGTGTCCATGCGTGTCCGAGAGTGCCCTTGTTTGTCTACATGTGCGTGCTTGTCCCTGTGTGCGTGTGCCCGTGTGTGTGCATTGCAGTCTGAGTGCAGCTGTGTCTGTCTACATGTGCCTGTGTGTGTCTTGCCTGGACGCCTGTCGGTCTTGCCCGTGTGCGTGTGTGTGCCTGTGTGTAGCAGTGTGCGGTTGTGTGTGTGTGTGTGTGTGCGCCTGTGTATAGCAGTGTGTAGCAGTGTGCGGTTGTGTGGTTGTGTGTAGCAGTGTGTGTGTGTGTGTAGCAGTGTGTGTGTGTGTGTGTAGCAGTGTGCGGTTGTGAGCGTGCGCCCTCACCTCGCAGGATGGTCTGCTGCTGCTTGGCGGAGCAGATGAGCCGGCTGATGCCCTCGATCACCTGGCTCTTGGAGTCCACCTCCTTCTCCTTCGGCTTCTTCCCCAGGAAGATGGTGGGCACTGCGGAGACAGGAGAGAGCAGCG